GTGACTAGTCGACTATCAAAATAATCGTTTGTGGCAGCCCTAATATAAAGAAGGATAAAGCGTCTTCTTTTCCTTTCGCATCAAAGCCACCAGACATAGACGAGTAAAAGGGCCACCATCTTTAAGCTGCACATGTAGTCAAGAAAACAGACAGCTGGGTGGTTCTGTTGGCTTAGTGTCAAGAACAGCATAGGCGACAGGATCTCAGTATCAAATATCCACCCACGGTGCCACAAATTTGATTTGATGAGAACAACAGGGCTGTAACCCACAGTTGAAATAATTCGACTTAAATCCAGGGGAACTGTTATATTATCCTTCTTTATACACAGTCTAAGGTTAACACCACTTCCCAGCAGCCCCTGGTTTGTGGGTAAATTCCCAGTTATTAGTGCAAATATGTGACTATGCTGTTAATGGCTGGTATGTTTTGTAATAAATAAAAATGACATTTTTACCTAACTGCTAACTGATATTTGTTAAATAAATATAAAAAAATAGTTTGATAATTAATGTTTTATCAAGTTTACAATATAAGGGGAGAGATTTTAATTAGGATACATTTAATTTAGTTACATTTTTAATAAATTTGCAAAAATGTTTTCACTTTCTCATTAGGAAATATTAACACTAGTGTATTATATCTGATACAGAGTTTTTGTGAGTTTGAGACTCAAACCTTTTTATCATAAAGCTCAGAGACCGAGGGCTCGTCTACTTACGACATGATCCCTGACAGGTGAAAGATCTCCGCTGAGAGGTAAGCCATGTAGCTGTAGAGGAAGACGAACAGCGGCTCGATGACGCGCGAGTATGAGGTGAAGCGGGACGTAAAAGCTCCCACGATGCCGTAGATGACGCCCACCATGACACCTCCCAGGGAAACCACGAAGAAAGAGATGACACCGAGGACGGCGCCGGTCACGGTAATCGCCTGCTCGTGAGCAAATTCCTTAAACAGGTGATACAGGACCTGGAGCAGAAACAGGAGTGTTTGTGTTTGCTTTTGTTCATGATTGTTTCATGGACCTAAAAAATTGATTTTATCTTGATAATTTCATTATTTATTTCAGCAGAAAATTTATAGTTCAGAAACTTTCTCAAGTGAAAATTTATACATGAAAAAAATTTCCTTTCCTCCTAAATTGAGAGATTTCCTGCTCAGTCTTTATTTTTCTTTCACTACTTTTCTGTATCTATTGACTATTTTTAGTGTTAACTGGATATAACAACACCTCAAAGTTTGTTTGTTTTTTACTATATTTTAACATTTTATAGAAAAGTAATTAATTCACATTAAAAAGAATGAGTTTAATTATAATATATTTACTATTTGAGAATGCGAACGTTGCTCACCACAGTGACGGCATCATTGAGGAGCGACTCCCCGAACACGAGGATGTGCAGCAGCTCATTAATGTGGATCTCCTCGAACACGGCCAGGACGGACACGGGGTCCACGGCCGAGATGATGGAGCCAAACAGCAGGCAGGACAGCAG